CATATGCTCCCATTTGCATGTTGTACCTGTATAACAAACTAATGCTTTAGCTACATCTGTTCCCACTACAGGACTGGGCTTGTAAAATGCTCTCTCTAGAATGCAGACGCACACTGAATATTTGTATTTATTTTCTGAAAGTCACCCAGCTGCAGACTCACAGTTTGTGATTACACTTAAAACAAATTCAAATTGCAATTTCAGCCATAAATCAAATGCTCCAAATTAGTTCCTCTTGTGGGTTTGAACATGCTCTTTGGATTTTAAGGTCAGAAGATATCCGTTTTCACCGTGCTGAATAGTTTAAAAATATACTACATTTTCGGGGGGAAGAAATAAATATGGTTTGCATTAGAAAGCAGTACATCAGCGTGTGCCTGTGCGCGCACACAGCAGTGCTGATGAAGCTGGATGCAGTCAGAGCACCTTTGAGGGCTAATAGCACCTAATTGTTAAGCAAGGCAGGAACCATGGTGGCTGTTAAACCAAGGAGACTACAGCAGAGTGCCCTGACATGTGATATTTGCCCTGTAAGAGAATAAAAGTTTATTCCTTACTCTTCAACTTGAAAAAAATAGTAAAAATTAAATAAACACACAAAATACTTCTCTTGGCAGGCTTTATAACTTTTTTTTTTAAAAAAAAGGCATTTACAAGTGGTTTCAAAATGGCTGTGTTACATCTGTCAGCGGGTGAAGGGAACACCCACAAATTGTGTTTTTATCTCTTGAAGTTTTGTTCCACTTGGGCAATAAAAGCCGGATTTGCTGCTGGTTTGTGCGATTGGGGTAATCTGAGCGTTGAGTATGGTTTTAAAACTTCTGCAGTTGGTTGGGTTTATAAGTTTTAAGAAACTCCTGGGGTGGTGGAGTTCTTGGGTTTTGTTTTACCCTGGCAGCAGGGAAGGGTTGATTTGCGAGCACCTGGCACAGACAAGTTCATCTTGGTTCCCTAGCCTGTCCCTCCCAACAAATGGTTTGGCAGGAACTCTCCTTATCTTTGATGTTAATGTCATCAGCAGTTTCTTGGTTACAATGCTATTCTTTCTCCGGGAGTTGAAAGACTATCCTCAAGTAGGCTCTGAACACACATGCAGTATTCTCCAGACCAATAGCTTAAATCCCCTCTCTTTTGGGGAATATCCTACTGCATGAGAGTAATGCTGAGAGGTGTAGTGCATTCACAGCTGCTCTCATGCTCAGGAGAAGTGATAGATGGTGGGAACCTAAAAGTTTGCAGGGGAAAGCTCTCATCTGACTGGCTCAAAGCAGTGGAGGAGGAGGTATTCTGGAGTGCAGATTTTGGATGGGAGCCTTTTCAGTGGGAAATGAGCAACCTCTCCCATACCCTTCACTAGTCCTGTTGAAAGCCCAGTCAGGATGGCAACGGTGAGCAGCCCTCCCTCCACTGATCCCTTCCCTAGCCTGGCTGCAAACGCAGTCACTCTTGCTCAGTGACCACTGTTGCACAAGAGGATGGCTCGAGTCACTGTGCGGGCACACAAGGCTGTTGGAAAGGAAGCAGATCATGACAGTGTGAGAGCAAAGGCAGGCAGGGGTCTGCTGTGTATCTTTGCCGCTTTTTATCTTATTAGCATGTTAGTAAAAACCTTGCAAAGGCAACCTGAGCTGGTTGCTCGAAGAATAATTGCTTGTGTTGCCTCCTCATAGGTCAGAGGAGGGGGAGTTTAAGTGAGTTAAAAGAATAATTGTTCAGAGGGGACAGTCTGTTCAAGGGGGGTCGTAACTGCTAACCACTGCAACTGAGGTCCGGTTTTATTGCTTTTTCTCCTGCAGAATTAATGCTGGGTTTATGGGGCAGATGGTTTCTGCTCAGACTCACACAAGCAGCAGATCTGTAATATGTTTAATGACAATTTCTGTGTACTAGATACTAGTGATGTGTGGGCAGGAAAATACTATGAATTCATTTTGGGATCAGCAGTCTGGAGTGAGGAGTGATGAGGATCATGAGGACCACAACTGGCTAGCTCTCCATTCAATACAGAATTGAGGCTCAGGGCTTTGATCTGGTACCAAAACCCTACTCTGATGTTAGTTCAGACTCCAGGGTGACAGTTCTGCCCACGAGCCAGCCCAGTGGTGCACTGCAGCGGTGTTTCACTACTGCAGTGAGTAGTGGTGACGCGTGTGACCAAGGTGGGGAATGGCTGCAGGTCATTAAACTCTGCAACCCACCACGCAAAAAGTCACTGAAGCCAAAAACTTCAGGTTTTGACAGAGATCAGCTGTTGGACTGATAGCAAAAACATGCACAATTATTGCAATTAATATTAGCAAGAATACTGGGGAGCAGAGATGAAATTCCATGGTTCACAGATTACCTGCATCTCCCTGGGGTTATGGATCTCAATTATACCTTCTCCCCAGTCAGCTGGTTTTGATGTGTGTTAGACTTAGTATTTTTGGACACTTCTTAGATGTGCTTTCTGTCCTCCAATGACTTCTACCTAACTCTGCACATGTGAAAATAAGGAAAGAAATCATTTGCATCATAGCTATTTTCTTCTCTGTAGCTTCGAAAGTAATTACATTTAATGCCATTTAATACTACTCATGATGCTGAGTGAACAGTGTTTCAGGACACATCAGAGATACTAGTAAAGATTTACAAGTTCCTTTTTACTGGATGGAGCAGCTCAAAGCAATGCAGTAACTCACTTGGCATCTCTCAGCAGAAGAGTTAGGAAGCCAGCACTTGGGCTCTGGAACTTCTTTCCTACTTGGACCATCAGATTTGAAAGCTGGTTATTACAGACTCAAATATTATTTTGGAATAAGGTGACTTTTGCTAATGTTCCATCCTATGTAGCATTTCAGAAAGGCAACATGAGTGTGAAGATACCCAAGGCAGGTGGAGCAGAACTAGTGTGTGTTTCACTGGTTTCGTACTGCAGAGTAATCATGTTTGGGTTCTTGAATGTAACATGAACAAAGCGAACCAGCTGAGGTATTGATCTGCCTCCTCTCTCTCCGCCCTTTCTTCGTGCCTGGTGAGCTGGAATTTATAAAACTTCTCAGCAAAAATTGCAGGGAAGGACTGGGCTTCTGCTCCTCTTGTTAGCTCAGGAGCTGAGCAGAGAAGCCACCCCTGCAGTTACCCAGACTGACTGTGGAAAATACGAGACTTGATCCACATGCCAAGTCTTTATTTATTCAGCTAAGTATTTATTCTGTTAAGGAAATGTAGAGGAAAGCTGTTCTAACAGGAGGTAAAACTGCAAACCCATTCTGACACCTGGCATTTAAGTTTTTCCAGCAATTGAGTGTGAGGATCAGGAAAAGAATGCAGTTTTTGAGAAAAGAGCAGAACGGAACCTACTTACAGGATCATGTCAGAGTCATTAGATATTAGACACTTTGGTTTGTACCTGTCATTTTAATTATTTTCTTGCTTTACTCTGTGTTTATGTTGTAGGTGCTGTCTTCAGGGCAGTGTTATTTGCCATAACGCTGTGATAGAGAAGGGTGCAGACATCAAGGACTGTTTGATTGGAAGTGATCAGAGGCTGGAAACCAAAGGTAAGTACAGGAGCTGTATTTACTGTGCATTTGTAATCATTTTCAGAATTTTGTCCTTGAGATTTTACTCCTATTTCTTCATGAAGTGCCAGGAAATGGTGGCAGTTCTACAATGAGGTGTCCTGTAATATCAGGATTTGTTTTTCATGGAAAGTACAGCTTCTTGGCATAAGAATAACTCAGGGACTTTCTCCTCTGAAGTTGGCAGCAAAGCTCTGTTGTTGTTATAAAGAACAAGATTGGGTGCTGAGACAGTCTTTTCCCAGAGACCACAATTAGATCAGACTGAGGTTGTCCTCGGCAGAATGAGGCATTATTTTGACTAGTAATCTTCATCAGTGTCAGGGGTAAAGCAGTCAAATTATTGATCACACAGACATAATCTCTGTAGATGCTACCAACTCACAGTGCCAGCATACTCCCATTCACCTTGCTCCAAGCAAAGCTCAAGGTGGAGCATTGTACTAGGAGCTGCTGTGCTCGGTACTAAATACAAGGGCAGCTATGTTCAGATCACTTTACTGCTGTGAAATGCTATTTTGGGGCTTCAGAAAGGATACAGCTACGTGGCCCTCATCTAGGCAAAGTTCAGCCATCCAGTGGAAGTGTGCGTGGTGAGGGCTCGGTGGTAACCGCCTGAGTGGAACTGTTGATTTCCTGCCCTAAGAGATAATGGGCAGGAAATGGCTGTCTCAGTGACTGCATCCCAAGCAGAGGCTTTTTTAATGAATATTTATGGTTGGGGTTTGGCAGATCCCTGCTCTAGTGTGCAAACTGAAGACAAAAGTGAAGGCTCCATGTGAAGTTACTTAGTCAGATCAGGATGTGTCTGCTTGCTTTGTCTTTGGGGGTGGATTCCCAATTGGAACTGTGTGATACAGAGCAGAGTAATGTAGTCTAGCCTAACCTATTGTCAGCTTTGCATATGACAAATATTCCTTTAAACTGAAACTGAAAGCAAAAAGGACTCATAAAAACAAAGTATCAGTCTTGCAGTTGCAAGTCTCAGATACTGCAGGTAACACCCAGTGAGTGTTCTGTGCACTGTGGTTTTAGTCCCTGTATGACTCTGTGCCTACTCACAGCCTTAGCCATCACATCAGTCTGAATCAGTGGCCCTTGGGGAGTTCATTGCCCCCCTATCACTGAAGTGTACTAGTCATTATAATCCATCTGTGTCCTCCCCTGAGCATAAAATCATAGAATCATTTAGGTTGGAAAAGTCCTTTTAAGATCATCAAGTCCAACCATAAATGTAACACTGCCAAGTCCACTACTAAATCATGTCCCTAAATGCCACATCTACACATCTGCATGAATCACCAGGAGAGATGAATTGGGACACATTTGATTGTTAACTTGCAGTGCGAACTATGAGGACACAGGGTGTAGATTTAGCCAATATTGTAGGAAATGGGAATATGTTTGATTTCTTTAGTAGATCATACCAAACAGAAATATCAGCCTTTGACTTCACTCACATCTGCTCCAGAAGTCTCTTCCAGGGTGAAGATCCTAGTCTGGTTGGTTGTAGTATAGAAACCATTCTTTCTTCTCGATTGTCCTTCTCATCCATATCTGAGTATTTTTCAGGGTCTGTACATATATATGCAGGGAGAGTAACAGAGCTGTAACCCATGGTTCATTTGCTTGTTCTTATAGAGTCTACTGCTCACCTCCCCACAGCTTAAACCCCCTTCTTAGTGAGTCTGGGGGCCCTCTAGTTAAACTGTTGAGAAATGTATGATTGACATTAGCAAAGACATATTCAGGTAGATTATAAATACACCATTATGCTGGGCAAGAAAAAATAACAAAGCCTCAGTTCATTTCTCTGCCTCAGTTTCCTAACCATTCTGGAATTTCTTTGGGCTGGGGGTCAGGTTTGCCTCGGTGGTCTAGGATCTGTCTGTGAAGTTCGTGACTTATTTCCTGAACTGTGGAGTCTTTCCAGCCCAACATGTCTCTTCTGACCTTGGCTGGTCCTGTAGTAAACTGGGTCTTCTCTTTTTTGCTGTGAAAGCATGCCGTGACTTCCTTTCCCCTGCCCAAGGCTTCCTGTGTCTTGTGCCAAGCTTTTGGTGTGGCCCTTGTAAGTCTGTTTCCATATTGCCCCTTTCATCAGAACTTTGGCTGTGTTGTTCTGTTTGTAACTTTTCCTTCTTCAAACTCGAGCCTCCATGGCCAGGTTAGGAAAAAAACTAGTTCTCTTGGGTAGGAGCCACATTTTCCTGCAAGCTGATCACCCTTCAGCAGACGTAAGCGGTAGCAGCTGGCTGCTGACCCTAGTCTGGGAGTTACATGCTAGAAACCTCCTCAGCAAAACTGCATACACCTTCCCAGAAACATTAAAAAAATAAAAATACAACAGTCCCTTATTCCAAAGCATCAGCCAGGATTCAGCAAAGTTAGAAATATCCCTGAATCATCCTACACAGCCCCAAGCCGATCCCACAGTTGACTTTGCTGCAGAACTGGCTGTGTGCTGCCTGCTCTACCATAAGAGTCCTGGCCACACTGTCCAGGTGGCTCAGGGTACAAGAGCTCTTTGAGCCAGTGGTGCACTGACCTCCTTTCATTAAATGAATTCCAGTCCCATGCAAGGAGGATGGCAGGAGAACAGCTACCACAAATGATAGGCAAACGTAACTCAAACCAGCTCTCATCCTTCTTCTGCAGAATAATATGGGTATATTTAGGGTGGTCCAAATGGTACAGCTGGGAGTAATGGGATTGAATTAAACACAATTTAGGTTGGCTATCTGGAACATTTTCCTAATGATGTGGTCTGGTAGGCTGTGGGATAATCTCCCTGGGGACGTGGTGGGAGACCTCATCACTTAATAATGGGCTTGGCAAGTCTCTGGACACCTAAATACAGGGAATGCTCCAACACTGGTTACTGGGGTAGATCAGATGCAGCCTAGTACTTTCAAACTAAAAAGAAAGTTGGAGACATAGCAGGTAACTGTCAGCAGTGACGTCCCAGTCCTGTGTTGACTTCAGCCCTGTCACAGCACTGGCCAGAGATGGTACTTTTTAGTGCCTCTGTTAAAGTAAGGGTGTGATGTTTCATTTAACTTCTGGATTTGCAAGCTGTGCCTCCTGAGAGTCACACTATTCTCTTCCTACTGCTTTTATTACCATGCCTAGGAAGCATCCACTTTCCTTCTTCTTTATACTTTAATTTAAGGAATTTGCTAGCAGAGAATTAACAGATGGGTTTTCTGAAAGCAATCTACTAGGTAGCAGTTTGAAAAACATGTTGGTACCTAAGAAAAAAACAGTAATCATTAGAGGGATAGGAAATGGCAGACAGCATTCTGAAAGAACATAATTGCACAGAGCATTCAATCACTGTTTCAAAGACAGTTTATTAGGATCATGCTGCAGCCTTTATGATAAGCCTGTTTTAAAGAGGAGCTCAAAAGCAGCATGCACTCACTGAAGTAGGACTAGAGGGAGGAAGTGCTGGTGATGGGCCAGTCAAGGAGTCAGATGAGCTCTAGAGTCAGTAAGTACAGTTCCCAAAGGAGTCTCTAAGCCAGATTCAGTAGGGAGTACATTCTACGTCTGGTATAGGTTAGCCAGGAAGAGGCATGTATGGTAAAGCTGCCTAACCTTTCTTCAAAGCAACACCATGAACAGAGACAGTAAACATACACACAAAGGACAGAACTAGCAAAATTGATATAAAACTCACCACATTATTCCCCACCTTCATCTCTGTGGTCACTGGAGCAGGGATGTTTTATTTCCAATGGGAATTATGGAGCCAGCATTGTTGAGGGGCAGTTTGAATCACTGCACACCCAGAGCATGTATTACAGCCTTGTTGTTACCACAAAGCTTATGTTCAGAAGGGGAAAAAATACTAGCATTCAGGATGCTGATGTAATCTTAGCTTGAGGTAGTGGCATTACCTCCATGATCAGGCTGCACACTAAAACTTGTTCCTGTACAGTTTTTATGCCACATATATTTTCATTTTTCTTGGTGCCCTGACACAGTCAACACCCAGAATGAGTGGCGCTGGCTAAATATGGGGAGTCTCCATATTCCTTATTGTCCTGTATTTTTTCAGTTTCTGTCTGAAACCTTCATTACTGTACCTTTTGCAAGAGACAAGATCCTTCCTTTCTGTGGCTTTTCTGCAACATTTGTCATTAAATTCTTCACAACTGTTAGCAACCTGATTTTCACCTCCTCCATATTAATGTGGTTGGGTTTTCCTCCCATTTTACGTCTTGTATTTTAGTCTTAGCATTTCCTTTGCAAATGTTGGAAGGTTTAGTTCACTGAATAAAACCCAGTTTTATTTCACATAATGATGTTGACCCTTGCATGGACCTTGCAGTGTCAGAAATTTGTACTCCGTTGTACAGATTTCTGCTGCTTGAACTGATAGTAATGGGTCATCTTCCTTAAGGGGAGCTGAATCCATAATGGAACAAGAGAAAGTCTTTGCTAGGAGCTTTCACAGATTCCTGTGGGCACCAGCAGCCCTGAGATCCATGCCTGGTGCTGGGAGGTGAAGGCTGTAGTTACTGTAGGGTTTAATGCTCCTGCCCCTAGCATCAACCATGGGGCCCCAACCACATCACCTATGTACTACCTGATCCTGACTCCTGCTTCTCAGCTCCCCACTATGGCTTTGTCCCAGGACCAGGCTCATCCCATTCCTAGCCTTCTCTTTGGTTTTTCCCCTAGTCTTTTTCCCATGGAGACTTTTGTTTGTCTCTCTTGGTTATTCCCAGACACCCACCTGATTCCTCATCTGGTCTGACCGTAGCTGCTATTTTCACTCCCCTTACCTAACAGTCCCATGCTCGGTTTTCCATCTGGCACTCACCCCCTGATTGCTTTCAGTCCCTTTCCATACTGCAGTTGTGCCCAGGCATGCTCATACTGGGCATATGAGGGAAGTGGTTCACTGTGGAGTACTGCACTGGACAATACAGCGTGGAGGAAGTCCTGCCTTCCTCCTGCACTTCCACAGG